ACTACTTTTTTGTAATGGAGAGAATCCAAATTCGTCCAATACTTCTTCATTGAAAATAGACATAAAGGACGTACTCATGAGAGTTTTTTTTTTTTTTTGACTCTTTTTCTCTCATACAGACTCACTAATTTCATCTAGGGTAATATCCGCCAATAATTCACTATGAGTAAAAAAGTCAAAAGATTCCCTTCGATCCTGTTTTTACAAATCCATCCATTTAGACAGATTAATATATAACCGATATGTTTATAGAGAACGTGATCACATTCCTTTTTATTCTTAAACGCAAAAATAACCAAAAGAATTAAAATAAACTAAGCTAGCGGGCTAAAATTTAAACTTTTTTGATTAATAAATGAGCTAACTATGTTAACCCTTCTTCTTAATCTTTTCTCCTTTTAACCCTTTGCCAAATAAAGCAGCTTAATTATATGTATTCGCTAAAAGTGAAACTACAGAGATAGTAAGTTCAAATTATTAACAATACATATTTTAACACTCTAATCTTAGAATACATATGTTAACAATAATTTGAATTTTCTTTTCTGTTTAGCTCAAACCAATCTGTTTATTAGTCAGGCTAAATGAATTGACTAATCTTAGAGTAAATAGTTACTAGCTAGTTAACTTTTTGTTGAAAAGAAAGAGTGAGAATTTTAATTACCAGAGCGACGGAATCTCGCGCAGCCAATGTAACAATATCAGCACAAGACACGACTCGTCCGCAAGCTCTCTCAATCAGAGTCTGGAGGTCGTCGATGACCTTAAACGCCGACTGCCGGAGCGTCAGGTTCGGCGGTGCCGACTGCTCGCTACCGGACCCTGTCAACAACACCGAGGCATCACATCCCTGCAGACGACAAACGTTAATCGCATTTAGAATCTAATTAATCTTCATCGTAACTTCAAAGTTTTGATATAATAAAAAAAAATCTTGTCCATCTTTACCTTGTTTTTCAAGAAACCAAAATTTATAATCTCAATGTGCAAAAAATAAAAATCTTCTTTGAATATGAATGAAACTATTAACAAATTAATTATTTCGAACTAACGGTTTTCAATTTTTTTTTAATCTCAAATCACGTTACAGTATGAAATTATAGCTCTCAGTCCTCGTCACAACTTCACCTGCACGAAACAATCATGAAAATGGATTCTAAGGAGTCCGGCAGCGAGACCGATATCCTTCTGAAGTTCTTGGCTCAAGTAGTTCCTCACAATGGACTCCAAGTTTGGGCACTTGGTGCTGTAAAATGTATAGGAGAGGCCTTTCGCTGGAGGAGGAAAGGTCCCGGCCTCTGAGGAGAGAGAAAGAGAGAGTGCGATGAGAGAGAAGAGGAAGAAAGAAGAAGGTGAAGCCATTAGTGTAGATGAGAGGGGAGATCAAGAGGGAGGACGGTGTGTTTGGCACAAGCTTGGACATTAATTAGAGGTTATTTATAGGCGTGTTAGGTAGATATTATAATCAAGTAATGCATGACTAGGGATGTTTTTGTTTGTGGATGGTCTAGCTACAACACATGTTTTACATGGGCTGATGTGTTTTCGTCAAAAGATGAAAAACACAGAGATAAGAGTTAAGATTATGATTCCTATTTTGAGAAGGGGCTTTGCTACATGAACCCAAAATATTGGATCAACAGGGGGACAGCTGAGGTGTCCCTCTCCTATTGCATAATGAGCTGACTATCATTAATGATGGCCAGCTCATTATGCAATAGGAGGGGGACAACTCACATGTCCCCCCTGTTGGTCCCATATTTTAGGTCCTTAGGGAATTTTTATTTGAGAAGAAATTGAGATATTTTTTTCCCTCCATATTATAATTAGTTGAACTACTATTGCAGACCATGTCTTCACATGATACAATATTGTACCATGATTACAGCCCATTAATTTCATTATGGATGGTGTTTATCTCTAAATATATATTAGCTGTAATTTTGTATTGCATGTAAATTTACTTTTATGGTTGAAAGAGCCATATTTGATCATAAATCAGTGGAGTTTTTGTGCTAATTTGATGTAGAACACACAGCAGACACGTTTATGTCAAAGTGGGACAGTCGCAAGCCCAAATGCGGGCCTGGTCGAAGAAAATAACTTGTTTCGAAGAAACGATCGTAACTTTCAAACCGTACGTCGGAATTGGACGAATTATATATGAAAATCGACTATCTCGACGAGACGGAGCCATCCAAACCGACCTCTTGGGGTTCGGTTTGCGTTTTTCATTTTGCCAAATTCCTTACGGTTTGAGAGATATTTACATTTTGTCTGTTTTTTACTATTTTTAGTAATGTTTTAGGAGTATGTTTTGTTTAGGAAACAAATCCGGTTTGATCTCAGATTTGACCGGTGGACTTTCCTAATCATAATGAGTCTTTTTAGGAGTTTTAATATTTTAGAAATTCTTTTATTATTTTTGGTAAACTTTGAGTCTTTGTAGGAATTAGAGTCCTTGTAGGAGTTTTGTTTTTTTTTTCTATTTAAGAAGAGTCTTGTAAGCCCTAGAGATATAACTTTTCATCAATAAAATTTTTCTTTTTAATATTTTCTTCATGGATTCGAAAATTGTTCTTTGTGAATTCAGAAAACACCATTGGTATATTCCAAGGTTACAACTTCCGCGTTGCGTCATAATTGGAGAAGAAAAGAGTGGTTATATTGATTACAATGGTAGAAAGCTATATCTCCGTACGCTAAAAGCACTTATAGTTTTCTAACTTAAATGTGTGTGTGTGTGTGTGTGTGTGTGTTGGTGTAGCCACTTGTTTTCCCTTTTAATCGGGAAACCTGCCTACTGTTTTGGTGTACCACTTGTTTTCCCTTTTAATCGGGAAACCTGCCTACTGTTTTTGATTTTGACTAGATTAAAATTGTAAATAGAAGACATTTGAATTCTCTCCCCCCTCATTTTTTTTGAACTGAAAAACAGGGTGAGATACCCTGTTCATATATATATAAATATGTATAAACCAAGGGGTTAACAGGGGGAAAGAGGGGAAAGACTCAAAAGGGGCATGACAAGATTCTAAGTAGAGAGGAGGAGGGTAAGGAGCGGACCGTGTCGTCACCTACCCAAAACTACTCTATACTTAAAAACCATCGACCAAAGCCCCAAAAAAAACAAAAAAACATAAACTCACCACATCAGAGTTGACACAGAAGCTGTTTGAAGCTGAATAAACCAGACAACAAAAAACATACAAATACGAGACTACAACTATGGGACTGAGAGAATGTAGCTGCATCCAAAAAGGAGAGGGGAGAACGAGACTACATCAGGAAACCTGAAGACTACCAGCAGGGGGAGTGTCAACTGTCATTAGAAAAGTTGTCCCCGAAGTCTCCTTCGCTGTTGGATTTCATAAGCTCCTGCAATTTTAAGTTGTGAGCTGCCCTCCGAGTGCGAGTCGCCACTCGCTCAGCTTCTTCACCTGTCCAAAACAATACATATCTAACAATATTAGCCACTATAATGTTGGGACTAGGAATGACATCTCTGAAAATAAGCAGATTCCTACAATGCCACATTCTCCAACAGAAGCTAAGCAACAAATATTTCCAAATAGTTCTGATATCAGAGCAAGTGTTACGATCAGATTGCAAGGCAATCAGACCCTCCATGGATCGGGACCATGAGCAGATGGGAGCGAGAGGGAGGAGAGAGGACCAGACTGCTTGAGCAAAGGAGCAGCTAATAAATAAATGATCTTGTGTTTCAACTTCCAGCGAACATAAAGGGCAACGAGGGTCCCCAGTCCATCCTCATTTTAATATGGGTGTTCCTAGAAGTTAATTGTCAAGTCAATATATCTTACATTGAATAATAAGTAATTATGGTTAAAGTTTTAACAACAATCAAGAGGGCTACATATATTCTTATTAGAACACTACTGAATGATATGTTTTCCATATCCATAAAAAAGAACAGTTAAATTTTCAAAGCATATTCGAGTAACCTATTCTTAACAACAATCAAGAGGGCTACATATATTCTTATTAGAACACTACTGAATGATATGTTTTCCATATCCATAAAAAAGAACAGTTAAATTTTCAAAGCATATTCGAGTAACCTATTCTTATGATTGAAACCAAGGCAATATCAGAAACTCTCTTTTTCTAAACACTTAGCATGAAAATCTGGAAAATTAGAGAGTGAATATGCACAAAATGTTTGATCTTGCAAGTGTAAAACTTGTTTGTTGTTTTCTGATATTTAAACCTATTTATAGCCTCTGAAATGACATAATTTTAAACCCAATTAACGTCCACAAAACGGCTATAAACCTACATGTATTACCATCTCCCACCTGCCATTTCACCAAACTGAAGAAGGTAGAGTGGATACTGTGTAAATCAGAAAAGAGTTTGGAGGCAGACTTCCTAGGAGGGTGAACAAAAGGATTGGCATCATCTTTAGAGTAAAGACGCTGCCCAACGCAGCTTATCAACCGCTGCCCAACGCAGCTTATCAACCGCTGCCCAACGCAGCTTATCAACCGCTGCCCAACGCAGCTTATCAACCGCTGCCCAACGCAGCTTATCAACCGCTGCCCAACGCAGCTTATCAACCGCTGCCCAACGCAGCTTATCAACCGCTGCCCAACGCAGCTTATCAACCGCTGCCCAACGCAGCTTATCAACCGCTGCCCAACGCAGCTTATCAACCGCTGCCCAACGCAGCTTATCAACCGCTGCCCAACGCAGCTTATCAACCGCTGCCCAACGCAGCTTATCAACCGCTGCCCAACGCAGCTTATCAACCGCTGCCCAACGCAGCTTATCAACCGCTGCCCAACGCAGCTTATCAACCGCTGCCCAACGCAGCTTATCAACCGCTGCCCAACGCAGCTTATCAACCGCTGCCCAACGCAGCTTATCAACCGCTGCCCAACGCAGCTTATCAACCGCTGCCCAACGCAGCTTATCAACCGCTGCCCAACGCAGCTTATCAACCGCTGCCCAACGCAGCTTATCAACCGCTGCCCAACGCAGCTTATCAACCGCTGCCCAACGCAGCTTATCAACCGCTGCCCAACGCAGCTTATCAACCGCTGCCCAACGCAGCTTATCAACCGCTGCCCAACGCAGCTTATCAACCGCTGCCCAACGCAGCTTATCAACCGCTGCCCAACGCAGCTTATCAACCGCTGCCCAACGCAGCTTATCAACCGCTGCCCAACGCAGCTTATCAACCGCTGCCCAACGCAGCTTATCAACCGCTGCCCAATGCAGCTTATCAACCGCTGCCCAACGCAGCTTATCAACCGCTGCCCAATGCAGCTTATCAACCGCTGCCCAACGCAGCTTATCAACCGCTGTCCAACGCAGCTTATCAACCGCTGCCCAACGCAGCTTATCAACCGCTGTCCAACGCAGCTTATCAACCGCTGCCCAACGCAGCTTATCAACCGCTGCCCAACGCAGCTTATCAACCGCTGCCCAACGCAGCTTATCAACCGCTGTCCAACGCAGCTTATCAACCGCTGCCCAACGCAGCTTATCAACCGCTGCCCAACGCAGCTTATCAACCGCTGCCCAACGCAGCTTATCAACCGCTGCCCAACGCAGCTTATCAACCGCTGCCCAACGCAGCTTATCAACCGCTGCCCAACGCAGCTTATCAACCGCTGCCCAACGCAGCTTATCAACCGCTGCCGACGCAACTCATCCATCACTGCCCAACGCAGCCCGTCAGTCGCTGCCAAACGCAGCTCAATCACCGCCAGAACGCAGGTCAAGGTTCTGACTCATTCAAACGTGATCGTAACAACTTCGAAGCTGTTCTTCACCCACGATTTGAGGAGTGGCTTTAGTGGGTTGTTACACCCGACTAATGGGGTAACTAAACCCCCATTTAGGCGCGGATTATGGGGGCAGTTACACCCCTAATCCCCCTATAAATAGCAACAAACTCAACAGAGTAAAGGATCTCTTTTTGGATAGGGGGAGATCGGATTTTTTATAATCAGATCAAGAGAGATTTCTTTTCATTAATCGGAGGGGGATCTTTCGATCAAATCTTCCAGAATCAGAAAAAGGAGGATTGACTCCTTACACAGTCTGGGAAATCAACAAACGGAGGATCTCTAAGCAGTCGATATTTGGCTTATTAACCGAATTATTTTCGGTTCCAACAACTCTATCATTAGAGTTTGTTACTTGTTCTGAATCACAAAACTCGTCAAGAGTTATCAACCAGACAAGACAGTTGTTCCAGTGAGGATAGATATTCGGATCGTCAACGAGAAGCAAACTCGACGCGAACAATCGAGGGAGGCATCTCATCGCTACCAAGAAGAACCCAGAATTAAACAAAGGAGAGAATCCCGATCATTCTCTTCTCTTTTGTAATCAGGAAATCCAATTGTAACTGAGAT